CCTTTTTTTAAATTCCATTAACGTCACCATATTACGACCTACAGCCGCGCTCTAGAAGAGATAATTAAACTTACTTTATTAGCAACTTTATTAGCAACCGATATGAGGACTGGTACCCTTTGTCACAAAAAACAGGCGACAATCGGGCGCCACCGAATCCCCACTAGAAAATAAGTTAGAAAATTGTTGCTCCGATCCACCAATAAGCGCCAGCCAAATCAGCGTATTCAACCCACTCCCTACGAAAAATAGGGTATATAAACCCTGATTCCGCGGAGGAAAGCGCACTTAGCTTCTCCAGAAAAAGAGAGTAAAAGCTGTGACAGTATAAGTCGTGAATAAGAGAGAGTATAAGTCGTGCGAGACCGCTTAAACCAACCAAGGGCCACCTCCATAAGGAAGACGTCAACATCCTCGTCCATCACCAACTGCCGAAGTCTTCCACGAGTGGCCCGCCAAGCAGCACTATAATAAAGGAAGACGACAAACTCCTCGACCAGCTCTATCTCGACCGGTCACGAAAGAAATATCAACTACGAGTAAGTCCTCTTTCCTCCATCACCCTAAATCGAGGCCTAGTACTTAGTATATAAGATACCCATAGAAACCCACCATTTAGAAGATCCGCGACTAACCCGATAAAACTCCACGATTACAGTGGATCAACACCTCGCGCTCGCCGAACTAGACGGGGGGTTGGAACAGATCCACCAACTCGCCCAACAGCTCATCCGTGAATTAGAAGCAGACCTCCAAGCGCCTAGGATTTTAGATTTCTCTCCCCCTGCGTATGACCACCTTCCTCCCTCTCCGTCTATCACGACATACTCTTCATCTCCGTCTTATTCTCCAGTACTTTCTCCCATAGACCTTATTCCCCATTCCCCCTCCAATTCCGACTCCAGCGTGGAGTTTCTAAGTGAGATCCCCAAAGTAGACTTTCTCGAAGAAATTCTCTTCGTCCCTTCCCCTGGGAATTCTACGTCCGACGTGGAATTCCTGCCTCCACCTTCACCCACCAATTCCACGTCTAGCGTGGAATTGCTGCTCGAGGATATCCCTCCTAGGTCTCCCAGCGCCTACACCTCTCCCGTGGAGTTCCTTGGAGAACTCCTTCCCCTTTCTCCTATTAACAATCCCTTCCCCGATATCTCTCCACCCTCGCCCACCAGCTCCACATCCAGCGTGGAATGTATAATCGAGACTATAACGCTGTAGCAGGACATATTATTAAAATAAATTTATAACATATATATATAACATTATGTACATATATATATAAATAAAGTTTAAATAACAAAAAAAACTACCAATCAATAAAAAAACCTCCCATTTCATTCCCTAGTAATTTTAAGATTGCACAGGGTCCGTCCCCGGGTAAAGAGATTAAATTCTCTGACCCAAAAGAGGACCCACGGGCGTGTAGGAGCTCGAAGGGCGTCATAGCGAGCTTTGGCTCACTGACCCACTTCGAGCCCTTTAATAGATACGCCCGACTCTCGACGCGCATATGTTCGAGCGCGGCGAGAGAAAACAGTGTTCTCTGTGCGGCGTCCTTCCACATAGTCAGTCCCGATAAAAAGGGACTTGAGATAGTGGACGCTCCGCGGCGAACACGACGTAACATTATGATCTTAAAACAGAGAAATGTAAAATCGACATCTTTAACGTCTTTACGTCGGTAGAAAAGCCGAAAAACTAAATGTAATAAAACCAAAAATAGAACAGTAATCTAAAATGTTAATAAAGTTAAAAATAAAAAGAAAGAAAATAATAGACAGAAAATATAATCCTAACAAAAGGAAGAATGATTACCTGTAGGCTAAAAAACCGTTGAAAACAAGAGGGTGACAAAAGACGGTTCGTACTGATCGAATCGAAATGGCAATAAAACGAATGTCATAGTAGTAATATTTCTTTCACTAGAAAGATGGGATGGAAAAATACAAAAATAAAATGACACTAACAATAAGTTAAGAGAGAAAACTAAATCAAAGAGAGCTTTTTAATTACAGTATTATACAGGGTGGTCACGAACGTTCCGGACAGACTTCGAGATATTATAAGAAATTTAATTCTGAACAAAAAGTTTCCTATAAACATGGGTCAAAAAATGCTTCCTTAAAAAGTTAGCGCACAACAACCTCTGATGTTTGTAAAAATGTATAAAATAACCGCGATTTCAGCAATTTTGGGGCGCTCATTTTTTAACATTTTTCGATCAATGTGTATAGAAAACTTTTTGTTCACAATTAAATTTTCTATAAAATCTCAAAGTCTAGCCGAAACGTTCGGGGCCACCCTGTATAAATCAGAAAGACCGTCTGTGTCAGTCTGCAAATTTAAATCATAACTAGAGTCCGACCGAAATTTCTGTTTCAGTTTCGGTTTCGGCCATTTTCGGCCTAAAATCAAGATTTCGGCTTGATTTCGGTTTCGGCCGAAATAGAGAGAAAATTTCGGTGACGTAAGCCGAAACTACAGAAGTCGCCTGAAATGCATAACATCGAACGTATCCTCTTAAACGCTCATCGGTTGCTAATAGTGTCAAAGAGTAATATCCGATTCTCTTGAAGTTGGCGGCACTTAAAATATCCAAAAAATACTCTCGTTGGTTGCTAATAAAATACTGTAAGTTCCTATTTTATCTCCTTGTTTGCGTAGGTTTAAATTTTATGAAAGTAATGTTCATGTTAATATCCAGATTAAGATGCCAAAGAAATATCCTATATGGGATTATTTCGTCAAATCTGACTTAAATCTATCCAAGGCCCAATGCAATATATGTAACAAATTATTATCTCTGGGAAGTGACAAACCCAAAAACCAAACAGTGCATGGCCTAAAGCAGCATTTATCGAAATTTCATTCTGAGCAATATAAACACTATTTACAAAGGTTTGTTCATCTTTTTTAATATTTACTAAGCGATTTATATTTGTAACTTGAATACGAAACTTATATATGTATAATTAAAACAAAATAATTTAATTTAATCATTAAATTGGTATATTATTTATTTTTAAGATATAAAGAAGAACAAGAACAATCAGAACCTAGAATAAAGCGTGAAAAAGTCCAATCAACCTTAACAAATAATGTTCAAATTACGATCCCTAATCTCATTAAGCATGGTGCTGGTACATCATTCTGGCCAGATGATCACGAAATTTCACGACGCATAGATAAAGCAATAATGGATTTTTTGATTGTCGATATGTTGACGTATTCTATTGTAGAAAGTAATGCTTTTAAACAAATAAATTTTGCAGACCCAGCCAAAGCAAGCAAATACAGAATAAAATCTGAAAAATATTTCCGCACAACTTTAATGCCGGCAACATATGACAAAGTAAAAGCAAAAATTAATGACATGATTTGCCAAGTTCAGTGGATCAGTTTTACTACGGATATTTGGTCCAATCCGACAAAATTTTGTTCCTTATTAAGTTTTACAGCACATTTTATTCTTGGACCTCAAAGATTAAAAGTAGTTTTAGGTGCTAACGTTTTAGAAGAAGATCATACTGGAATCTACATTTCGCAAAAACTCATTAAGCTAATTGATAGCTATAATATTAGGAAAAAAATCCACATGGCAATAAGAGACAATGCCGCTAATATGAATTGTGCCACACGAATTGCAGAATTTTCTACATTGGGATGTGTAGCTCACACCCTGCAATTAGTAATACAGAACGCTGTTTTCTTGCAAGAAAATGTAGAAATACTCAAAAGAAAATGCAGAAAGATTGTAGGACATTTTAAGCGCAGTGAACAAGCAACCAGATATTTATCTAAATGTCAAGAGACATGTGCTGTTCCACATCATTCGTTAATACAAGACATAGAAACCAGATGGAACAGCACATTTCTCATGTTGGAACGTCTTAATGAACAAAAAAATGCCATCAACCTCTATAGCATCGAACGCGGAGGAATAGAAACTCTTAATAACGCGGAATGGGAATTAGCCACAAATATTATAAAAGTGTTGAAAAGTTTTTATGAAGCTACTTTAGACATATCTCGTGATGATGCTTGTGTTTCTTTAATTATTCAACTCATTACCATGTTAACTGGTAAACTTCAACCGACAGACGATGATGACGATGATACCATTTTGAAAATGAAACAAAAGCTATTAGAATCTTTGAATAAACGGTTTGCTTATGTTAAAAATTCAACACTGTTGATAACTGCGACTCTTTTAGATCCTAGGTTTAAAACAAAATATCTAACACCTGATGAAATTGAAATTGGAAAGAAAGAAGTAACAGATTTTTTGCTTAAAGAAGAGAACACATCAACATCACAAGTTATGGATAAGACTACTTATGCTCATGTAGAAAATTCTTCAGCAACTTCAAAAAATGTGTCCGAACAGAGTTTGTGGGAAGCTCATGATAACTCCCCAAAAGAAAATGCATCAGAGGGAGAAATATCTTTACAGGAAACTTTCCAATCATTTCTAAAAGAGCCTAGGCTTCAGAGAAATGCTAATATTTATGCTTATTGGCATTCTAGTCCGTATCAGCAATTACAGAAAGCTTCGAATAAATTTTTATCAGCACCGCTGTTTGGAAAGCGTGACTTATCCTTGGAATTGAGTCTTGGCGAAATTGTTGTATGCATTGTCAATCAACCCCTTGAGGGTGAACTGTTGCTTGATACGTCTCTCCATATGATCAACTCTCATCTTGTCGTCTACGTTGCTCACGTTGATCCGGCTCGATGGTCCAAAAAATGTTAGAACATATACGCAGACCAGAAAAAGGGGGTTTTGTAATGAAGGACGTAACTAATAGAGAATAGAATAATAACGGAAAATAACTCGTATAATGGACTATATAATAATAAAGAAAGATATGTCATAAGAACGTCAGGTGACGGTGGGGAGCGTCCCGTCGTTGCTCCTCGTTCGGACGGCGCACTCGTTCGCTCACGGGACCTCGTACGTCGTTAGATGGCGGACCCCTATCTCTGTCGCACACGGCACAGGACTTCGCCTTTGTCCGTACGTCTGAAGATGGCGGACGCCTATCTTCGTTGCAGTAGCGAAGGGACCCAAGGCGCCGGTGTCGTTGGCTTCACGCATGTAATGTCGCAGTAGCGACGGAATCCAAGGCGCCGCGGCCGGTGTCGTTGTGCCGTCTCCCTTTCCGTGGCGGTGATGAAGGCGTTGAGTTGACCTCGTGGAAGGCCGCCGGCTGCTGCAGACGCCCTGGTTGATGCTCCTCTGCTCCCGTCGTTAAGAACGACAGCGATGGTGATGTTCTCTGCTCCCGTCGGTAAGAACGACGGCGATTGGTATCGAGGACTCTTCCAGCCAGGGAATCGTCCCGATAGGTTACCCCATTGGAATCAGGTTTTTGAGCTCCTCGCGGCCTCCTTATATAGCCCCTGAGACCGGATTTTGATTCCGAGTTGCCGGCCGCCGCCATGCGGCGCGTAGCGGCGGCCAGCGAACTACGCAGAGGCCGGCGCTCGCGCGCCTGCGCGCGGATCACGGAGCGCCGGACCAACGAGCTCTGCACCTGGAGAATGCCGAGAGGATGAGCCCACGGGCGTGTCCTCCCGGCCCGAGTATATCGAGAGGATTAGCCCTTCGGCGTCTCCTTGTTCGATCAAGAGAATGCCGAGAGGATGAGCCCACAGGCGTTCGGTAGTAATGGCACAAGGTGCCCTTTTAGAAGCGGTCACTGACTCGAAAGGGAGAAGAAGGCGGGAGCCGGCGAGAAGCGCACCCCCCCTCCCCCCTCCTCCCGCTCCGCCAGTGCCTCCGCGTATCCGGCGTAGTTGTTAATCTCGATACTGCGGAGTCGACGTTGTTT